CGTCCCCAGCCAAATCACCACTATTCACTCCACTCTAACATCTACTATTGCCCGCTGTCAAAGACAGGTGAATGACCTAGATGGATCAGTATTTTTATTCAGCATATACATTTATGTTCTGGTTTAAATGTGCTAACCTCACCTCTTTTCATATTTCCATAGACCCTTGTTAGTATTTGCATCACATTAAGGGATCCACTAACTCTGGAAGAGACACGGTTTAATCAGGATTAAAGACACAACAATTTGCTTCCATGAAGAAAACATTCCTTTTTTGTTGGCAATAGAAATTTCCTGTTCAATGGTAGAAGAGACTGATGTCAGCTGTAAATCAGTGCCCTTCCTGCCAGTAACCAGATACACGCTTCCCAGCCCCCATAGCATCAACAATGTAGGTCACACACTGACAGTCACCCAGGCATCATTCAAATCGTTAAAGCAGGAGCAGTCATGTTTGCATCAGCAGGCCAGTTAGCAGTTCCGTTTTGTATGAAGCTATAGTAGCATGCTTTCAAATTGTTCTGTTTATTCTTGATATATACGCAATTTGCAATTTAAGCTACTCTGCTTTGCTGTAACACAGCCGACAGGCTTTCTAATGCTAGAAGTTTTAGTATGGCACTGCTTAGGTGATTCATGCATGGTAAATGTGTCACCTGTCAGCGCTGCAAAGCAACTCCTGCCTTTGAAGGTCAAGGAGTTGGTAATATGAAAAGAATCAGGAATAGGAAGCATACCGGCTAAATTCTTTATACTAGTACAAGTCTGAAATAGCACCACTGAAGTCAGTAAAATTATTCTGTGTTTACACTGACTTAAATAAGTGCAGATTTCTCCATTCTCATTAACACTACAATATATCCCCGCATAATACTACTACGTTGAGTCAAATCTCGTTAGAATGAGCTTTTAAAAAAAGACAGCCATCACAGCAAATTCTTTCCTTCTTCCAGAAAAATTAGGTGAGTCGATAGAAGTAAAAGCTTCATTTTTGCTAACACAAAGTTGTGATCATTCTGAGTAAACATTAATCAAACCTTCGAATCATGCCATCAGTTTGTGGGGCTATTTCACTTTGCTTCAGTTCTCCTTATGAAATGCTAGTCACTATTGGATTAGACAGCATTGCTTTGCTTTCTACCCTTTTGCTTGCAAAAATGGACTGTAAAACTTCCAAACTATATTATAATGTTTGTTGTTCAAAGTAATTTGATGGTTGGGGGTGGTTTGGGGTTGAAATGGTTGTAAAATTTTACCTCGGGAATCTCTTCTCCTTCTTTTTACATTTTCACTTTGTTCTTCATTAAGTGTAAATAAAAATAACCAATACTGAGGGACTTCCCCCATCCTCAAAGTAAGAGCTGTTGAGTTTCTAAGTTTAAAAGGGAGACACCATGTCCCTGACAACAGAAATGCCTATAGAAACTGTTCCAACATTGTTTCATTCATTGGACTTCATCCAAGACGATGCTGCAGGTGACTAATTTTATAAATAGCAACTGTGTGCGCCTCTATAATTCACAGCAAGTACACATCTTTGGCTGGAAATGAAATGCACTGCACTGTGCTCAGTGCAAATTAGTGGAAGGTCTGCTATATCATTCAAATAATTTGTTGCCCAAATAGCAGAAAACAACCCATAGAAATTAAATAATCAGGAAAAATTCAATTAAACTGAGTTCTACATACACAAGAAATGACTTACTTTGTCTTTTAATATATGCAATGAAACCCCTGCAAAGCCAGCATTATTTTTCCATAAATTATTCGATCGTTAATGGATTTCATAAGGTCTCTTCTCTACACTTCACCTTAGCTGCTATCTATTCTGAGCAGTCAAAAGTATATTAATTAAGCATTTCTCTCAAAAGTTAGAGGTTATTTTTTTAAAGTTGCATAAGATTTGGTGAGCTATGTAATATAGGTGAGTAAAACACCGAGTCAGAGCAGAATGGCGCTATAGCTGGAGCAACAGAGATCTGAGATGTGCTTCAGGGAGGCATTATCACTTTTCAACGTGTGTGTAGCATGCGCCATTCCCAGAATGGAGAGAGGTAATTAACCATGATAGTCTAAATGCAGGCAGAAGGCAGGGCAGGGTGGTACCTTTGAAACTATGTCTAAGGGGTCCACAAAAGATGACTATGATCAATCAAAAGTATGGGAATAACCACACTTACAATTCAAAGGGGTCTGCACTTCCATTCAAAATGTACAGAAGGGTCCACAAATGAAAAAGGTTGAAAAGCACTATAGAGTTTAGACAGTTGTGCCACCCTTGGTGGTTCAGACTGAGTTCAGGCTAGCCAGCTGGGAAAACTTGCAAGGCCTGCTCTTTCCTATGATGTGCCTGTTCTCAGAATAGGAAATATTCATTTTCAGAGTCGTCAGTCCAATACATCAGATAAAACCTAATCCGTGTGTGTATGGGTCCCTGCGGGGATCAGCCTCTCTCAGCCTGAAGCCCCAGCTTGGTTGTCCAGGGCTGCATGCTCCTGGCTCCTCTGGAGCTCCTGTCACAAGCTCCAGCCACCCCAAGGGGTGGATCTGCCACTAACAGGCTCCCTCTCCCCTCTGGCCCCGCACATGCACCTTCTCTCAAAGGATCTGTCCCAGCCAATCAGGAGACTGGAATTTTCCACGGGCTTGCTGGGGGGATCACTTTTGTTTTCCAGCCTCTTACCAGGACTTCCCTCTTCTAAGATGTCTCTGCTGGGGCAGGTTTTCATTTGCCCTTAGTTTGGCATCCTCAGAGGAATGAGTTCCTGGTCCCTATGGGCATTTGTATGCATGCTTGCACCACAGCCCCCAGTGCTTTTAAAAGTACTTGGCGCAACATCACATACATTTGTATAAATGACAAAATGTGCATCAGCACTGAGAAAATGGCAGCGGTGCACTTTTGAATTAAAACACATCAAAGGTGTTTTAGTTCAAAAGTGCACTGCTGCCATTTTCACAGCGGTAAAGCACATTTCACCATTTATACAAATGCATGCGACACAGTGCCAGGCGTGTCACCCTGCATGTGGAGCCAACTTGATTAGTCGAGTCTTCTCTGACACACATACATATGTGTATAAATGCCCTATGGTGCCTTGACCAGGGATGAATCTCCTCTGCTGCAAGGCACACTTTGCGCTGCAGGGAACACTCTGCATCAGGGTACGTGCACTTTATGCTCATCATGAATGTAAAAATATATTCTGCTGCCATTTACTTTTTACAACTCTTTTTGTTTAGTTAAAATATAAATTTTAAACAGTAAACATTTATGTACGCATGTACATTGAGACTATATGTCTCAAAATTGTACCGTGCAAAAGCCCATAGGGGGCAACCCTCCCATGTTTTCACCTCAACAACTGAGTCATTAAGATATTCATCCAGGTAACCAGAGAACCAGGCTGTAGCCCCCACTTGCCCAAAGAAAATTGCAACCTGTATCTCTGACTCAAAAAGTACAGTGCCCCAAACACAATGCCACAGGTCAGGTACTACCCATCATGAGTGATCCTTTTGAAACTGTTTCCCTGAGAAATCAAATAAGGGAAATATATGGAATCAGGAAGAAGTGCCCATACTAGAAGGTGTCTGGCTCAATAACATATCTGCTGCTCAGGAAAGGAGTAAGCCCCAGCTTCTAGCCTAGACCCTTGCTCTCAATAAGACATATACTTCCCCTCTGCTCTACATCCAATAAATATCAAATGCAAGGTGCAGTGGGTTAGCTTCGAAAGGAGTTATTGAGGTTCAATCAACATGTTTTTGAGAGGGACTTACACTGAGGTGTGCTTGGGTAAATGCATACATAGCTGTCCAGCTGATACACATCCTACATTACATGCTTAGCACCTATGTGGATGCTTACATGTCTACACTGTATGGATTACAGAACCCCAAACTGTGCATAATTGCCAAAAATGCCGCTATGTGGCTGGAAAACCGTACCACACAAAACAGAATTCAACCCTAAGCAGCAAATGTTTTGGATGAGAAATCACACATTTATTCAACCAGACATGGTAAATCACAATTAAATTTGTCAGCTCCACATATATGTTCTTTTAAAATCTTCATATTACCAAGTCAATAGTGCTGACTGGCTACCACTTAAGTTTCTGAAATATTGACAAATATAGATCAACTAAAGATGGACCATAAACCAAGTTTGAGTAGACATATTTAGAATGAACTTTGGCATTTGCTGAATGGCAAACTAGACTGTATTTTATTGTCTCTGCAGAGATGAAATTAGATAAACTGTGAGATGCAGAAACCACCAGCAACATCATCAGCCCATAGTCTGGAGGATTTTTTACTTGGTATCTATTCTCCTAAAATATTTCAGGACACAAACAAACCTGAATTATATTCTAATATCTGTCTCTCTACCTCAAATTTTTAAAGGTGCTTATCATTATGGTATCTAAGCAACAAGACTCAAGGGGAAAAAAGGGGTATTTAAACTATGCAACAACCTGATGTTTCTGACACAACAGTAAATGATATATCATTTTAGTGATGTGTCAAGGCCATGATTTCTACTAATCTCAAAATGACATTATTTTACTAAAACATCCATAGACATAAGAGAGACAGTAACATTTCATTTTTAAAGTGGCTTTTGACTTCAAAAGAATCGTGCACTTGTTTTGCTTTTAATTCTATTTATTAAGCTTTAACAAAAGGCAAGACCAATCAACACAACGAGCTGTTGGGTGCACAGAGAATAAGCTTAAAGGAAGACAAGGGGAGAGGTAGAATAGCACATTATGAACTGTTTGGTACATTCAAACAGGTGCAGAGGATGACACATCTTTTCTATAATTAAAAAGAAAAATTGTTTGGCTTGTTAACAATTTCCAATCAGTTCATTCCAATGTTCTTGGCTACTCACCAGCACAAAATGACAACATTATCCCAGGAAGCAACAGATCTAAAGAAAAAGATAGAAATTTGTCTTGCTCATTTACAAACAATGTGGTGACTGGCAATCACAAAGAGTGAAAGGACAACAGTATGTTGCACGCTGCAGGATAAGTGGACATGATTCATACAGTCCTCTAAGTCCCCTGCTCTCAGGGATTTGAACCGTCTCCAAACTGGGCATCCAAAAACCTAATAGGAAGAGGTTTTAAAATGTCTGAGAAATTTGATTTAATATGCACCAGAAGCCTTGGACTAGACCTAGTGGACCCAGGAACTGTTAATGCCACTTTGATCAAAGCACCCCAGGGGCTAGATTATGTCTTGGAGGTAGAGGCCTGCACTGGAGGCACAAAGCCTCCTTTGTGAGGTAGGGAGAAACAGTGTACTTCTTCATGCAGCCAGCCAGAAAGTGTGGAAGTAGAGTCATAGCTCTGCTGTTCTCCATCTATTGCTACTTCCTTTGAAGCAGCATATTCTCCAGTATACATAATAAGGGAGCAACTTCTGTGCCTAGAAACAGACCTTGTTTTTGTCTCAGGATCAGCTGTGCCAGGATGTGTCCCAATTGACTAGTAGGCACAGAGATAGCTTGAGGCCATTGTCCTGCTAGATCAAGCCCTTGCCACTCCCAAGACTCTAGGGACAGGACAACAGCTCTGAGTGCCTGGCCCCAATCCAGGACGTGTTTCTGCAAATATGGAGCAGAGAACTCCACAGGATTCCCTTGCTCTGCAGCATGAAACACTTGCCTTGACATCCCCTGCAAGAGAATTCCTGGGACACATCTACAATCCCATGGGGGTCCCTATTCCACCCTTGCAGACTTGCACCCAAGACTGAAGAGGGGCTGGGATTTGGGCAGAAGCAGCAGTTTGTGACGTACCTGTGTCCCCTATCCCATCGTACTGCCAGCGACAGGCATTCAAACATTTTTTGCAATGTCCCAGGACAAACTGTTACTACATTTTTTGTGGCAGCAGATTTGGGGGTTTGTTGTTCCAGGACACCTGCAAGGGACATCTGAACAGGAACTGCTCTGTCCTGGGACAGATCACTTTGTCCACCACCAAAAGGACTTGTGTTTCTACCTGGTATTTCATTTTACATAGGAACTACAATTTTGTCTCTGACCTTTACATGAGCTGGGGGGTGAGGAAAGTCTCTAATCCTCTCTTTTCGCTGTTTATTAAGCACTAAACAGAGCCTATGCCCAGTATGTTCTCATTTAGTCTAAGGTATTTATTTAGACAAGCTCCCTCACACTTTTTAATGCATGTATCTTCACAATACCCCCTCAAAAAAAGAGAGCATTATCACCCTCATCTTGCAGAGGGAGTACTTGCTCAATGATAAACCAAGACTACCCTATTCTACTTAGTAGGCCTGTGCAAATAGGGAAGTATTCAATTCAGATTTGTCCGATTCAAAGGACAGTGATTTTATTTGGATATTTGGATCACTGTCCTGAATCAATTCAGCCGAATCAGCTTTGGAAGATTCGGCGCCGATTTGGAGAGATTCGGCGATTCAGACAGGCACAGCCAGGTGGCTGCAGGCTCTCACATCTCCTCCAGCTGTGTCTGCCTCTCCCTGGGTGAGGGAAGCCATGGGAGCAGCCCCCATGGCTGCCCTGCCCATCCCCATCCCCCACCCAGTCACAGCCTAGTCTCGGCACTTAAAAAATAATTTTAAAAAAGCCCCGCACTCACTGGCTGCAGCAGTGACATTGGGGCCTCCGGGCACTTGTGGCAGAGCCCCCCTGCACAGTGCAGGGCAGCAGGATCGTGCCCCCCCCCACTTGGCACCCACGTGGCAGCTGTCCCATGGCACGGATGCAGTGTGGCTTGGCAGGGTGCTGTCCGCTGCCTGGGAGCTGGGGCCACTAGGGCTGAGTGCTGCCAGGCTCCAGCTAACATGTGGAGCTGCCCCAGTTCCAGGCAAATCAAACCAGGACCTGGGGGACTGTTCAGTTCCCTGAACATTCCCCAGTTCGATTCCCCAGCTCCTCAATCTTTTCCCCAGCTGACTGCTTCCTCCATCTCCTCCTGGGGGGCACAGGCTCCCAAATGATGCAGAATGGCAGCAGGCTGCTGCTGCTAGCTGGGGATGGTGGCAGCTCTGGGCTCTTTCCCCAGCCAGTAGCAGCAGCCTGTTGAAACCCCACATGCAGATCCGGGGACTGCACCCCCCGGGAAGAGCTGGGGGAATGATCAAAGAGCTGGGGAGTCAAACTGGGAGCTCCAGCTGACAAGTGGAGCTGCGTCATCTCCCAGACAGTGCGCAGCACCCTGCTGAGCCTCACGGCACCCACACCATGGGGAAGCTGCTGTGCAGGTACCAAGTGGGGGGGATCCCCACTGCCCCACACTGCATGGGGGATGGGCCTGGGCAGCGCAGCCATGGGGGCTCCTCCCATGGCTCCTCCGGCTGTGCCTGCCTCTGCCCCAGTAGAGGGAGCTGCAGGGGGCTCTGTGCTGCTGCTGCTTGCCCAGCCAGTGCAGGGTGGTGTAATGCAGGTGCAGTTCACTCTGGGTGGCAGCAGGGCATAGCCCCCCCCCTTTCAGTGCTGCTGCGCCTGCATGCTGTGCCCCCCCTCCCCGAGTAACATGCCCCCCACTGCCCCAGCTGGGCAACTTGTCCCAGTCCCAGCCGCAACCCCAATCCTTTCCTTCCCCACACTCCTTCCCTGCCCCCTCCCCCAACCCCAACAGACTTACCAGCTGGAGGCAGCTGTCAGCTGCCTGTTTAGTCTATGGCTGAATCTACGAATCGGTTACATCTTTTTCTGAAGCTTTTCCGAATCAATTCGGAGATTCAGTCCCTGAATCTGGCCAAATCTCCTCCTAATCAAATCAGCTACCAAAGCTTCAAACAGCCCTACTGCTTAGGATCTTGTAGCCTGCTGATCACACATTCCAGTAGTGTATTGAGCAGTGAGACTACATGTCCATCACACATCGACCTCATGATCTCCCTGCATAGAAAAAAGCATGTTCAGTGAGGTGTCTGGCTTTGTTTTGTTTAACTATATAAGGTGGTACACATTTATCTTAGAGAGACCTTGCACTTGGAGCAAAAGGTGGTGGGGTTTAGGCCCATCTAGTTCCTGGATAAATTCATTCCATGATCTTGAACTGCCCCCCAAAAAGTTCTGCATACCAAATCTTGTATAGCAGAGCAGAGAACCAAAGCCTATGCCTCTAGCAGAAAAACAGGCTTCCCAGAGTAAACCAGTCTTTGGAACACTCCAAAAAAAGCATTTCAATTTATATGAGGCTAGACGTGATCCACATTTGGCATTTGTTTCTCATGCTCAATTTTTTCCCCCTCTTGAGTCTAACTAATTTACAGATACTTAGAAGCAGTTATTTCTCTGTACTTTAGAATGTCAAGGGAGTACCTCTGGCTATCCTAAAGGCTGAACTGCAGATGTCGGGAAAAAAACTTCCAGAATACTCCTTAGATCCTTCTGTTAGATGTGAAATTGGGATTTTTTGTTTGGGGGGGGGGTTTTGGGGTGGGGGTGGGGGGGGTTGCTACTAGAAAAATTGGGAGGCAAAATACCCAAATTCTTATCCCTCAAAGCAGAATGGCAAAAAAGAGAAAGCTCTCTGAAGTTTGTGAAACTCTACCTTCCATGCGTAAAAATTACTACCAGATGGACAGGAGAAGAAAATGCATTAGACGCAATGGTACCAAACTGGTTATGAATATGGTATCGGCATATTTAAACATTCAATTGTTAATTTAAAAGAACCTGGATAATACTAGCTAAAAATCATAATTTTTAAAACATGGGGGGCGGCGAGGAAGCGAAAGAGAAGCAAAAAACTACCACTGCAAACAAAAAACGGATCTTCATCTGATGTAAATAGGGATACTTTAACTTAAATCAGCTAAGAATGTGGCTCTAAAGAAATTCTGTATTACAATGGATTTTTGTACATATATATTTTTCCCCATATTGTACTAGGAAATCAACAAAGCCAGGGATGCAAGAGTGTTTCAGTTGTAGAAAGACTTGCAATCAAATTTTATCTTACACCACAAAGGCTATCCAAGTCCATATCTACTATGGAACATTTGGCTGCATCTCAAACCCACTGCACATTTAGGAGTGGATGGCGGTCTTATCTTGGAAAGTGAGATCACAAAAAAAGCAAATACTTTGACAATTAGGCTCTCAGATTCATATTTCATTGACAGAGCTGTGCATGAAAGCTTGCAGAATAGCTAGTTCCTGTGAGAACTTCAATTTCTTATTACTGATTCCCTCAAATCTACCTTTAAAAATACCAAGAGGTTAGAAAGGCCTAATTAACTTAAAGCAAATTCAATTAATTTCACAGGATTCAGCAAATCTATGTTACAAGCATTATAATGCCTGTCATGTCCAGAAGCTGCTGCAGCTTCATAAACTATACAAGTATAGTTAGCACCAGACTTAATTACTTAGAAGGTCACTTCCAATCTCTGTTTCCTGTTTCCCAATAATGGTAAGAACATCAACATACCCATAAAAGAAGAAAGGAGCATCCAAGCCAGTGTGCTGCATTCAGGGACAGGAAGTGAGCAGTAAGTTTTTATTACCAATAGGTCACTAACAGCTACCCAGCTCTCTTGCTTGTCTTAAGTGCAATAAGGGAAGCTAATAGGCACCCCACCATATATGATTTAATTAAGGTTGAAGCCCCAGGCTTGAATGGGCCACTTAACTTAGACCGGCATAGTGATTTTCTTCAAGTGATCTGCTTTCTGAAAATGGGTTCTTGACCCAGCATTGGCTACTAACAGATTCTGGATAAATAGAAGTATTCAGGAGTATTTATCGCCCATGTGAGCCTAGTTGAAAACTGTGACCTTTTCAATATAAGGTAGATTTTGCAGTAATCCAAGGCTTTGTTACCTGCTGTTTGAAATGCTATAGACATTTCAGAAAGACCATGCTACTAGAAGAACAGAGATCTGCTTCCTATCATGGATTTTTGATAGCAGCATTCCATAGACTTTACTAACCTCCAGGGTGACAATTTTAATCTATAAGGTCTTCCACAGTTTAGGTCTTGACTTCCTTGGAATTAATCCCTTCTTTCAAGTCACCTTAATAGTTGACATTTAATACAAACCCATATTAGAGTGTTCAGTTCTGAAACTTGCTTCCCATTTTGGTCAAAAACCCAGCGCACTAAAATTTAGAGTCCTGTTCCCTTGTGATAATATTTGGGGTGATGACTTACTTTCATATTTTACTTTGTCAGATGATTACTTCATAACTGATATCTCTTTAGTTGCTGTATAGGTGTTTGAAGGATAACAATGAGTACATTATTAACAACCAAAAAATAAAGCAATGGTAAGTGTGGGCAATTTGGGGAAGTATACAAGCACTCTTTCAAGACTGTGAGAGAATTCTTTATACTCCTCCTATGTCCTACTACCATGAATAGCAATATCTATAGCTATAAATAGCTGAAAATATTTATATTCCATTATGCTGGGAAATCTGTCTGGTGCATGTCAATGCTTATTATCAGTAACTCTTTTCATGTCATTTTCTCAGGATCTGGCAGTTATATGCTCTGAACAAAAGTCCCCTCTTACTCTTTATATAATAACTCATTGTTCTGCAGATTCTTGTTCTGAAAGATGCAATGATTCACAAATAAACTAACATTAAAACAGAGGTTGGGGAAAACAAATAAAAAGTCATTTGTTGAGATGCAAGCACAAGCTAGGGATTTTTCTTCCAGCAACATACTAAATGCTGTAATAAAACTAAAAAGAAATACTGTCAGAGGAAGAAAGAGATTGTGCAGGACTTAGTGCAAATTAACTGGATCAGTTTAGCAATGCTGAATAGCTAATAATGGTGAACAGCTGAGAGTGACTCAGCATTGCACTGAGCTTGCCCATTCTCTCAGGAAGCATTTCATTTCAACGTGAAACCAGATTGTACTTTTTTGTGATTGACAATGACTAAGAAGCACATAAAATGCTAGAGATTGAGTCACTCTTCTTGTTTTTTCCCCAAAGTGATCTCCTTTTGGGGAGGAAGGGAGAATAGAATGAAATCCCATTTAAACAGGAGGGTGATGTTATCAAATTCTTAAAAAAAAAAAAAAAAAAAAAAAAAAAAAGGAATACCTCTGATCCAGTAACAGAAGGAAACAGATTCTGAAACTGAAGTAAACCACCTTTAAGATGTTAAATGGTTTACAGAAGCCTTAATGCCTCTTTCAGTTGCCAGCATACATTATCTGACATCCAGCTCTGAAGCTAACTCACAAGGCTGCATGTTTCTTCTAGGTCAGCTCAGATCTTTCAAGTTTTGCTGCCTTCTTAAGAAAAGCCAATAAGTCCCCAAAATATGTTAAATTTCTCTTTCTCCCAGGTTGTGCTGATGCCTGTTGCTTTCACAAATAACATTTTTTTTTTCCTTCAAACCTTGCCAGCAAGTCACCTGAGCTGGCAAAATTGACAGCAGCTGGCAGTGCTCATTAAAGTCAATGAAGCCTCCCATTGACTTAAGCGGGAATTGGCTCAGACTCAAACTGAGGTGTGCAGTTATCAGGGCAGTTATGACTTATGCCCTTCATATATTGTTCATAAATATATAGGAAACATTTTTTCCTGAAAAATTTTGACTTCAAGTTTAGCCCACTAACAGCTGAGGAATCTAGTATCAGAAGGTAGGAAATATAGTGTGAGGTACTTCCAAATCCACAAAGTACACACGTGGGTCAGAAAAACCCACACTCCATATGTCCTTAAAGGTATGGCTCCTCTTGAGGAAGGGACAGGGCCTCCCTATTTTCTTTGACCATGCCAAATATGTTGTTTTTTCATCTATGTACTAAAAACAATAATAATAATAATTTGTGGCCAAAATCAGAAACCAAAAAACAAACAAAAAATGTTTCATATATTAAAAAAAATCAGAGATTTAGAAAGTAGTCCACACTGTTTTGGTTACATCTCATCATATAAAAACCATGCCAGATTCTAGCCAACATTGCAGAAATTCACAAGGAAGAAACAGCACATGAAACATGTCTCCCCTTCCCTCTTTCTGTGCTCTGTAGAAGCAAGTCCTACTGCAACTGTTCCACTGCCCTGAGTATAGCAGTGGTAGACTCCTAGGCTAGGAACAGAAGTTACACATAAACCAGTTTAAGTAGTGAGAAACTGGTTTCAACCTGTAATAGAACAGAAGCTCAGTGCACAAAAACCAGTTTCAAAATGGCTGAATCTGGTTTGCGATAAACCTGTTTGAATGCAGTATCAGACCTGTGGCTCCACATCTCCTACATATGTCATCTGGCTGGGGACCCACTTGGTAAACAACCTAATATGTTGGACCCATGGGACATCTAGGAGGATTTTGCACTTGGGTCTCTTCCAGCCATTTCACTGGTACTCATTTTTTGAAATGCTGCATCCATGAACAAGTGTTCCCATGATGAGTGCATTGAACATCATGTCATAGCCACGGCCCCTCAGGATGTCAGCCAGCAGGGCGTGCTTCTCCTGCTTGCAAGCCTGGGTGTAGGTGAAGGCTTGGCACTGGTTCTTGAAGGGAAAGTCATGTCCACGATCACAGTTTTCTTGGCCTCTTCATTCATAATGATGATTTCAGAGTACATCTGGCTCTTGCAACCTGGGATGGTGTGGTTCACGGAGATCTCCCCCACTACAGCCAGGGTGGTCCTCACTAGGTAGTCCTGGACAGTGTTGTAGCGGAGCTGCCAGGCTCCGGCATGCAGCCTGCAGCTGCACAGCATGTGGGGGAGGGTCTCTGCTGTGCATCCACACCATCGGCACTTCTTGTCCTGGTGGCCGAAGTGGATGGCCCTGTTCAGAGGCAAGCAGTGGAGATAGGCATGGTGGAGGAAGCGCCAGTCTGCAAAGCATGTGAAGCTCCCACTGGGCATGAAGTGCTTGCTAGAGTCCTACTTCAAGGTGATGCCAAAGACCTTGCCCTGGTGGGGTTTGGCCCTCAGGTCACCACCGTACTTGTTGTGGATGGCATCCTTCAGGAACTGCTCCAGGAAGGTCCTCATGTGGGGAGTCACGGTGATGTGGTCGGCGTGTGGGGCTGGTTACAGGAGAGACTCCCAGCTCCTGGTGCTCCTTGGTCCAAGTCCAGGTGCAGTCGATGCGCTTCCTGAGATGGCACGTGGCATTGTGTGTTCAGCTCCACAGTGAGGCAAAGTCCCCGCCATCTCTGCCAAACTCGCCTTCCAGCAAGCCGCTGAAGAAGGTGCCCGAGTCATGTATGGTCAGTTGCCTTGCAATCCTCTTATGGGTGGTCTCCTCGAGGGCACTGGCAGCAATGATACTTACCATTGGGTCCAAGTACGTCAGGAGGTGGAAGGCATGGGTGAGGACCGCAATGTTGCAGAGGTCCCCCATGCAGGGCATGTTGGTGCCTCCCTGCCGGTAGGGGATGTGCAGGGGATGTGCAGGATCTCATTGATGACCCTCAGTGGCAGGTGCAATTGATATATTAAAAAAATTGAAATATTTCCAAGTATGGTATTTCAGCCATTTTTAGAAGGATTCAAAAGACATGTATATGTGTGCAACTGACCTTTGGAAACATTTCAAAGGCATTTGAAAGATTTTAATTGTTATGCATCTCCCCACCCTAATTCTATATGGTCTATGACCTGTCCTGAGATGCTTCTGGTAAAGGACCATCCAAAAATTCTGCTAGGTGCTACCTTTCTCATCTGTACACTCAGTCACAAAGAGGCTCAAAGTCTCTTGTGTCTTGATAGACTCCAGTCTCATTTTCATGTTCAGTATTTCACCTCCAACAAAAAAAGCTTTTGCCACTGAAACTGAATCATAAAACTGCTATTCCCAGCTTCAATAACTTTCTTATGGAATCCAATTGATTTATTGTGACACTACAAGTATTTAGTCCACAATTCTTAGCTTCTTAGCTTCTTTCTAGCTCCTCTAATCAGAAAAAGAAAAATTATATAAAGAAATACAACATAGTTATCAACGCTGATAAATAAATAGCTCCATGTATTACAATACCATTTTTCCCCCAAGTGCTCTGAAATCAATAGCACAAGTGTTTCAGTGGAGAACCAATGGAGTTGCCTGCTCATGTTCATCTTTGCCAGCCCAGGCAAAAGCATTACTCAGAGTTCTACCTCCCCATCTAAGACAGAAGTGAACAGTGGCAGAAGTTGTGGATGACAAGAACCAGTCTGAACTGGAAGAGGTTCCCAGCAGTCAGAGAAGTAAACATAGGAGGAAGATGGTTGGTACTGGCCAGAGGCATTTCATAGGAAAAGAAGGCATACACTAAAGGGAGTCTGGGCAAATTAAAATTACATCAATACACAGCAGGCAATCCATGCATGCAAGAGGTGAGCAGATGTTTGGAAAGGAGCTTTTTAATCCATACAGTCTGAAACGAATGAATTTGGATCAGTGGCAAAAGGGAGACACAAGGTAATGTCAGGAATGAAATCACTCATGCTGCTATAAAGTATCCGACCCTACTTCTATGATTCTATGATTCTGTGAAAGTATGAAGTGCTTTTATTAAGCACAAACACAGCAAAAGGAAAAGGACAGAAACTCAAGATGCAAAATAGTATG